CATGAATTTAAATTATGATGTGCTCAATCAACTTGAATTCATTGGCTGTGTATTTTGCATTTCATATTTTTATGCAGTTGCATAAAACACATTTTCATGGTGCTTCAGTAATGAGTCACAAAATGCATGTCTGTGTGTATGTAGCTATGATACCTGGTTTGTGGGGATGCTTGAATTCTCTTTAGAAAATTTCCAAATCTTTCTAGAATGTCTAAAAGACAAGAGCAGATATGAAATGCTTCATAACATTCCCAGTAGCTGTGCTTGTTCACAGCATGAATGGGTAAAGAGGGGCTCTAGAATGTACAAGCCACCTATTCAGTTTGATGTCTTTTTTTTTTGCTTTATATTCCGTTACTTGGTAAGAAAAGGAATTCTCTGCTATTATTTGTGTGTGATAGTAACTTTGGAAACATATGTATCTGAAGTATTCATATTATCTGTATAATATGCACATACATGTATGTATGTTAATATATGTATATATGTATGTTTCATCTATGAGGATGAAGATATACATTTACATGTATGTATATATGTACAAATATGCATTTACATTTAGTAAGATAGGAAAAAATGCCAAGAGAAAACTACTTTATTCCTTAACCTCACCTACAACCTCTTAAAACATGCTAATATATTTTCACTTTTTCACCAAAATTGAGCAAAAGGGCACATGAGGAGGAAGAGTAATACAGGAATACTTTCAACAGGCTTTAGGGTAGGAGATAATGAAGCTAGCTCCTGGGATAAGCATATTCATTGGGCTTGTTATGTATCAAATGTAACAAAAGTGGGGGATCTGAAGAACACCCTGTGTGGTTCTTTTCACACCCTTTGATCACACAATTCCTCTTTAATTCAAATGCAGTAGAGCTTAAGTGGCTTCATTGATGTGTAAAGTGTGGAATGATTTTGGTATAAAATAAAAAGGCTCCATTATGTGGGCAGGAGAAGCCTGTGTGTGCTTGTTTATTGAGACAGGAAGTCGGTTTCCCACACAGAACAACAGTTCTGCAGGACTGAGGCATTGTGTCCAAAAAGAGGGGTGAAGGAAACTTAATTTTCTACCTGGCAGAGAGCTGTTCCTGAATGAGAGAGCTTGATTGATTTTCAGAAAACATGCCATGGATAGGGCATGCCCGGAACACTTTTGTTAGGAGGAACACACACTTGATAATAGAAGCCTGGTTTTTGTACCTTGCTTAAAGTGATGAATTCCAGTGAGTACCCTCCATCGCCCCCTGACTCAGGTGGGGGGAAAGAAAAAGGATCTTTCACACATTATCTCTGGGTTGTTTTGTTGTTTAGTTTTCCCTTACATCAGCTACCAGTTGCTTGTTTTGTTGTTATTTTCATTACCACAAATATGAGATTTTGTCAAAGGCAAAATTTATAAATGTACCCAAAGTGGAGAAAGCTCCTATATGCTAGGAATAGGTCTTAATCTTGCTATGATCTATGGCATAAGCCCTATGCTGTGGTGGGAGCAAGCTAGAATTCATGACACTCTCCTACTCCCAAGCCCAGTCTTTTCTCTCTGTATCACACGTAACTTAAACTACAGAAGGTATCTGCACTCTGGTCATCCTCTCTGAGGTACATGCAATCCCATTGCCCAACCTCCTGGTTACTGTGTCTTCCTCTTCATCCTCATGATGAACTACCCCAAACCTTCGATTTCTTAGCTGAGAATTGCTTAGAAAGAACATTTTGCAAACTTGTTCCAATCAATGATAGTAAAATCTAAAACGTACAACAGTGAGGTGGACTTTCATGAGAAGAATGTTTGGCTGAAAGACTGTATTTAGCAAATGTTTCCATGGTTAATGCTTATCTTACTAATATTTCTGAGTAAGTGAATTTTCAGGGTGAAGAACTAGTGAAAGGGTAGTTGTGGCAGGTTCAAACACAAGAAAACAATCCTGTGTTTGCCGACACTGGAAGTGGGACGAGAGTAGAACTGTCACTTGAGGAGGGTGGATTTTTCCAGACACCACTTTGCCCACTTGGGTGATTGTCTGATTCTTCCCCATATGGTTGTATTATTTTCTGCCCATCTGCCATGATTTTTTTTTTTAATTTAGCTATGGATGTGTGCGTGCCTGTGTGTGTGTGTGGGGGGGGGTGTGTGCCACATATCTGTAGGTGCCTGCAGAGGCCAGAAGAGGATGTCAGATTCCCTTGAGCTGGAGTTATAGACAATTGTAAGCTCTCAAAGTGGGTACTTGGAAGGAGACTCAGCAAGCACTCTTAACCCGTGAACCATCTCTCCAGTTCCACTTATAAGATAATTTCTCAATCATGGAATTCTAAGAAAGAAATTACTGGGGAAGGAACAATAATATTCTTTGTGATGATCCTAGACTAATTAGAGCTACCAGTAAGTTCCTTTCTCTTCATATATAGAACTGCTCATCTCTGGCCTCTGTTTACCTCTTCTGCTTTGTTACAACCACAGTAACTTTGTGTTGGCACTGTTCCTAGCTGTTTATGATCCTTCACACCCTTCTCATGTTCTTTCCATACATTGCACACAGAACCTTTTCTCTCACTTATCCCCTACCTCCATTTATTCTTGTAATACTTGGTACACAGCTGTTGCCACAGAGAACAAGTCTCTCAGATTAAATCATTTGACTTAGACTCCTCTTTTTCTCCTGGGAAGAATTAGTTGTTGCTCTAAAGTCAATTCTACCATCTCAATATGATATAGTTTCTAATGACCAATGGTAAAGTAAAACTTTCCAAATATTTCCTCATCCTCTACTTACATCTAAAAAAGGATACTGGGCATTTGTCACCAAATTCTGACTTAGTGGAAAGATGGTGAGGTTAGGAACTGTTGAGCTGGATTCTAATCCTGGTGCTAAAATTTTCCTGTTATAATTTGGGACTAGTTGGTTAATCTAACTTGAAATCCCTCCATCAGAACTTTTTCTCTTTCCCTCCTTCCCTCCCTTCCTTCCTTTTGATGAGGTTAAGAAAAGTCTTCCCACAAACATGGTGCCTTGATGTGCTATGTTAAGCTGAAACAGAGAAAAACACAGAAACAGAGACACCCTCTGGTCTTCTCTCTTAAGACCCTCATATGGCAGGTGTCCCCTTTCCTCCATGCCAGAAGGTAAGGACATGACACAAACAGCCCAGGAGGAACCTGACTGAATGGGCCTTAGCAAGTCCCTTCCAGCTCTGATGTCATCCTCCTTTCTGTCCAGTCACACTTGCATGTTGTGTGCTCATTCATCATCAAAATGAAGCATGGATTCATTGCTTTGATGCTAAGGTTTGATAACTCAAAAGAGCTATCCTAAAGTTTTAAAAATAAATCTAACCAAACAGGTGAAAGGTCACTAAAATGAAAAGTAAGAAACAATGCTGAAATAAATAAAAGAGGACACAGAGTAAAAAGATACTCGGTGTTCATAGTTTGGGAGAACCAATGTTATTAAAATGTCCATACAAACTCCAAAGCTGTCTATTAAATTCAGTGCAATTCCTGTCAAAATATCAGTGATATTACTCATGGAACTAGAAAACATAATACTAAAACATATATAGAATAACAACAAAACAACCTGCTAATAATCAAAAGTCATCTTTAAAAAGAGTAAGGCAGGAGACAATAAACTACTTAACTTCAAAATATGCTACAAAGCTATAGTCATCAAAACAGCATGGTAAATGGCATGAAGCAGACACACAAATCAATTAAACAAAGCAGAGCTCTTAGAAGCAAAGCCATACACGTAGAACAAATTGATTTTCAACAAATGTATCCAAAAGATGCAATGAAAAAAAGAATAGTGTCTAGTAAACAGTGCTGGGAAAGTTGGGCATCCACAAGCAGAAGCAAGAAACCAGACAACCTTTCTCAGAAATCAACCCTAAATGGATTCAAGACTTAAGTGTTAGGCCTGAAACTATGAAACCACTAGAAGAAATACACAGAAGAGATACTACTGAACACTGAAATGGATTGCTTTTAGCTCTCTGAAGTTCATGAAACAAAACAAAATGGCACACAGGATTATATCAAACCAAAAGCATCTACAAATCAAAGGAGACAGTCATCAGCGTGGAGAGACAGCCACAGAGTGGGCAGGAATGCTCGCAAACTACACATCTGGCAACAGCTACTCTAAAAACCCAATAGCAAAAAGTCACTGATTTAAAAAATCTAAATAGAAATTGATCAAAAGAAAATATAAAAATGAACCACAGATCTATGATTAAAAAGAATAACATTTTAGTATCACCAGTCAACAGGGAAGTGCAAATCAAAACTGCAATGAGATCAACCTACTCCAGTAAAAATAACTGCTATCAAAAAGACAAAGGCTGGTCCTGGAGAGATGGTTCAGGGGTTAAGAGCACTGGCTGCTCTTGCAGGGGACCTGGGTTCAGTTCCCAGCACCCACATGTCAGCTAACAACCATCTGTAACTCCAGTTCCAGGGAATCCAACACCCTCTTCTCTTCTCCATGGGCATTGTAAGACACGGATGCACTTACATGCAGGCAGAACATTCATACACGTAAAATAACTCATAATTAGAATGTCATAGTTTTATATAGTGTTCTACTAGTGTACACAAACTTTATTCTTATTTATTTGATTGAACTATATGGGTCTTATATTGCTTTACTACTTCATTAAAAAGTTTAATTGGCTTTCATTAACAAATAAAGCATATTTATTTGGGTCATATAGTCTCTTTTTCAGAATGAAGATATTTAATAGACTACTTAAAATGTTCAAGTCTTAGTTACCTCACCTGTAAAATGCAGCATGTTGATAACAGTGCATAACTCAAAGAACTGTTGTAAAGACTGAGTGAGAATCAGCTAGTATATGTACAAAATACTAAGCTTTATGACTAGACAAATGGCACAGCAGTTAAAAGTGCTTGCTGCTTGTCCTAGTTTGTTTCTCCATTGCTGTGACAAAATACTCTGACCAATACCAACTTGGGTAGGAAAGGGTTTATTTTGTCTTACATTCCAGAGTTGCAGTTCATCAGTAATCCCATGGAAGGAACTCAGGGCAGGAACCTGGAGGCAGGAGCTGGAACACAGGCCATGGAGGAATGCTGCTTACTGGCTTGTTTTTCTGGCCCCTGCTCAGCCTGCTTTCTTATACAACATAGGCCCACCTGCCCAGGGGTGGCACCACACACAGTGGGCTGGGCCCCACAGACACAGCCATAGGACAGTCCAATGGAGGAAATTCCCCAATCGAGGCTGCCTCAACCCAGGTGTGTCAAGCTGACACTAAAGCTATCCAGCACAATTGACCCCTTGTCAACTTGACACACAAACACATCACTATTAAACCATAACCTTTCCATTTCTTATCCCCAAGACACAATGTTAACATTAATATCACAATGTAAGAGAGTACAACCTTAAAAGCACCACAGACCTTAAAAAACTCCAAACACTTAAAAGTCCACAGTCTCTTTTTAAGTCTCTTAACTGTGGGCTCCTGAAAATCCAAAACAAGTACTCTCTTATTTCAAAGTAAAGAATCGGGCACACCTAAGCAAAACCTAAGTCCAGCAACGTAGCTCAAGGCTGGACATCTGGGATTCACTCACCATCTTATGGGCTCCAAAAGGTTTGAGCAACTCCACTTCTCTGACTCTCCTGTCCACAGCACACACAGCTGGTCTCACAGACCCAGGGCAGTTCCATTCCACACCTGCTACTGCCATTGGTGGTTCTCCCATGGTCCTACCATCTCCAAAAAGCTGGGGTCTCCACTGAAACTGAGACTGCACTCTCACCAATGGCTTCTTCTGGCCTCTTGGGGTACAATGCTTCAGATTCACTCCATGACCCTTCAGTCCTGGGGTCTTTACTGCAACTGAGGCTGCACTTTCACCTATGGCCTTCCTGGCCTCTCAGAGTGCCAAGCTGCAGCTGCTCACTGTGATCCCTTCACGCTTTCAACACCAGAACCACCCAGGAGACTCTTACACATTACCAAGTCCAGCTAGAGATGGAGGCTCAGGCCCCCTCTCTACCACAGCTTCTGTGTACTGATCCTGAGGAAATACTTTCCAGATGATTTCACCACAGTGATGCTGATTTCTTGTTACTTGCAGCTAATTTTTCAGCCCAGCTAACCAGCATGAATTGTCCCAGTAAAGCAAAGGTTTTACTTCAGTTTCTGATCTCCTCTTAATCACAGCTGATTCTTCAGCCCCAGCCAACCAGAACCCACAGATTCTCAATTCAAAATATCACACAGTCTGATAGGTTCTGCTTCCCTTTGAAGCTTCACAAGCTAGGCCTCCATCCTCCACAACTCTTTCAGCATAGCTTTTCAAAGCTCCACAGCAATAAACACTAAGCACTCAATAGCTTTTCCAGCCCAAAGTTTCAAATGCTTCCACAATCCTTCTAAAAACACCAAGGTCAGGTCTGTCACAGCAATGCCCCACTCTCTGGTACCAATTTCTGTTCTGGTTTGTTTCTCCACTGCTGTGACAAAACGCTCTGACCAATGCCAACTTGGGGAGGAAAGGGTTTACTTAGCTTATATTTCCCAGGTCACAGTTCATTAGGGATCCCAAGGAAGGAACTCAGGGCAGGAACCAGGAAGCAGGAGCTGGAACACAGGCCATGGAGGAATGTTGCTTACTGACTTGCTCCCCTGGCCCCTGCCCAGCCTGCTTTCTTATATAACATAGGCCCACCTGCCCAGGGATGACACCACCCACAGTGGGCTGGGCCCTCCCACATGAATAAATAATCAAGAAGATGCCCCATAGACACAGCCACAGGCCAGTCCAATGGAGGCAATTCCCTAATAGAGGCTCCCTCAATGCAGGTGTGTCAAGTTGACACTAAAGCTGTCCAGAGCATTGCTCCATCACAAAGACTAGAGCTTTGAACATGGGTCAGGTGGCTCACAAACACCTGTAACTCCAGCTTCAAGGTATTGGATTCTCTCTTTTGGCTCCCTAGGCACCCATACACATGTGCACATACACACAGAAACATGCAGACACATAAATAAAATAAAAAGTAAATCTTAAAATGCTAAGCACAGATACCGGCATACAATTCATGCTAAGCAACAATACATGTGTAAGACAGAGAACCTCACACTATTATTCTTATTATTTAATAGTGTAATCTTAAAGGGTACAACTGTTGGTGGAGGCTGAGAGATCAGGACTTCTGAGGAAAGTTAGTTTGCTCTGAAGAAAGAATTTCTAAAGGAGAGGCAGGGTTGTAAGGGAAAAGGTACACCAAGCCCAGAGAATCCTGCTAAAGCTCCGTCTGTATGCCTGCTCCCTTATGGATCAGTCCCTCTCCCAGACTGTTCCACATTATCCTTCTCGTAGCTCTGTGTTCAATACCACCTTCACTTAGTGCCCCTAGACCAAAGCATCAGCAGGAAAAAGCAGACAATGGCTTGAGAGTCTGATCCTTCTCTTGGTATCTGTCAAAGTCTTACTTTTTCCTCATGGCCAGGTTCAAATATCACCTTCCTGTGGCTTCTGCAGGCTACCCTAAAAATAGCATTAGAGTGCTTTCACTGTGTTCCTACTGCACTCTTAGCAACCAACAGAGTATGATTATGTCAGAAACAGTCAGTGAGTCTCTCTTTAATAATTTACAATATTAATCCGTCTGTTATATTAGACTGTGAGCTATTTAGAGGCAGGAATTACGTTGTATTTTTCACCACACACTTCATCCACATCTTAATTATTTGAGGCCAGTATATCGTTGAACTAGATGATTGAAGCTGCTTGCACTGAGAGGAACTCAGTCACCTGAAGGAAAAAGGAATGGGCTTACATAGCTGAGTCTTTGAAGAATGGCCGAAGCTGACCTAGGAGACACAACTACCAAGAAATTCCCTGAACTCTGACATAAGCTCAAATCCCTATTTCCATCCTGGACTGCCTCTGGATCTCAGAGGCCCTCTGTGACTGATAAGATGGCTTGTTCCCTCGAAGCTGGAATCAAAGATGCCCTGTGCAAGATGGATGAGCACCTTGAGACATGGGCTCCAGAGGTTGTGAGGAAGTAGGACTATTCCCTTAGCTCACGTCTGCAGTATCATATCAGGACATCTGATGGCTGTGAATATAAGGAGAAAAGGGTATGCGGCTGACATTCCATCAAATGTAGGTAAGAAATTTCTTTGCTAGAAACAAAATTATCTATCTATCTATCATCTATCTATCTATCTATCTATCATCTATCTATCATCATCTATCTATCATCTATCCATCTATCTATCTTCTATCATTTCTATCTTTTTTATTTCTTTGTTTCTTACTCTCTTTTCTCTAAGTTTCTATGAATTGACCTAAACATCAAAGTATCTTTGTAATTCAAGACAGCATTTCCTCTGGTCTTAGAGACTATCTGATTTTAATCAGCACTGGCTTGATATGATTCAAGACAGTTGAAACTGAAATTCTCTTGGAAAACTCTATCTTGAATTGGAACTATTAGAACCCCTTACCTATTTTATACTGCTTTCCCAGGGATGTCTGTGTTATCAGGTACAAATATTGGGGGTTACAACTTTTACCTTTAAAATACTTCAATACCGTGTAGAATTTTCTATGATTTTTAAACTCGTGTTGACCATAATTCAGGCAGTTCTTGATTATCTACAAAAAAGGAAGTGAATCGTGGCACGGATAATCTGAAACAGGAAACAATCAAACTGTTTCTTATATTTTACTTTGGAATGCTTTGTATGGCTTTGGGAGATTCAGATTTTCCTTCCCAGGGATGTAACTCTCAGGAAAAAGTTAAAAGGAGTTTGCATTCCCTAAGCCCACACCAAATAGCTGAGCAGGGGATGTGGGGCAGCCACATGCTGGGTGGCGGGAGAAAGCAGTCTGAAGTCTGAGGGAAAGCATTCCACTGATAACACAGACGTGAAAAATGCCCCTATGAATAATTAAGTGCTGACTGGAATGTAGCTCAGCCTTGTAAATTAGCGAGGACAATTTTTCTAGCCCACATTACTTAAAACTTCGGGTTATCTTCTTTAGAACAGTTATACTGGTAGGAAAAAAAATGTTCTCAAAGTTTTTGACTTCTCACAATCCACTGACTCTAGCACACTCTGTGAAGGAGTCAAGACCTCTCACTGGGACCTTGGGGAGTCAGTCCTCAGCCAGCAAAGTCTGGTTCCATCCTACGGCTTTCTGCACTTGGAAGTGAGTAGCTTTATCAGAAAACAGTTTGTGCCTTTGTCTTATCTGCTGTTGGCCACTTCTAGTTTACACATGAGGAAACTAAGGGTTAGGCAGATTCCTTACTAATTGAAGTTTGCAAAGTTGGTCACCAGAGGAGCCAACTTCAAGGTAAGGACTATTTATCTAGTTTGGGTACTAAGTTATAAATCAAAAGTCAAGAAATTTCTTTGTTTTTATTAGAATCAAACTTTATCAGAACTTTAATCATTGTTTGGCTGTTTATCTGGTTTTATCTTCATGTTCTTTGAAAGTAAATTCAGTTTAATTTTTTTTTTTGCATTCTAAAGACTAAGTCTCTCAGGTAAATAGGTTTATGATTAGAGAGATAAGTAGATAGATGATAGACAATAGATATTCCTGATATTATGTTAGAGGAAGGAGAGGACAGGAAGGGGTGGAGAGTAAGGGGAGGAGAGGGACAGGGAGGAGAAGGAGGGGAGGAGAGGGAGGGGAGGAGAGGGACAGGGAGGAGAGGGACAGGGAGGAGAGGGACAGGGAGAGGAGGAGAGGGAGAGGGAGGAGAGGGAGGAGGGGAGAGGGAGGGGGGGGGAGGGAGAGGGGGGGGGGGGGGGGAGAGGGAGCGGCGGAGAGGGAGAGGGAGGAGAGGGAGGGGAGGAAGAAGAGCAAGGAGCAGAGGGAGGAGAGGAAAGAAGAAAAATGGAAGCAGAATGTGACCTACAGATATAAGAAGGGGCAGGCAAGTCAATTCCCATCAAGATGGGGAAAAAACAGAAAGAACTTCAAAGAAGGTGCATAAATGAATGGATGCAAGTCAGTGGGCAGTTATAATGACATATGTATGATGTTCCTACAGTTACCAAGCATGTGATGCTATTGAGATGGGCTATAACATTTGGAGATCATTTTATCATGGGTTCTGATGGGTGGGATGGGATGATGTCTTAGTTTCCTGTTGCTAAAATAAAAATACACTGACAGAACACTTTGGAAGAGGAGGTGGAAAGGCTATAGGAGTCAAATGATTAAAATAAGGGCTATGGAATGGCATCTTCCCCCAGGATGCAGCCATTCCAATCGTGAACTCAGTGCAAGTGCACTTGCTACACTGATCCTGCCCAAGAATGGGCCTGTCAACAGCCAACCATGGATGGGGAAAGGGCTCAAAAGACCCTGTCTGCCTTACCCACTCTACCTGAACTAGTGGCCACTGATTCTGGGAATTGGGGAGCCACTCTAATCAGTTGAGTAGCCACTGGTGAGGCACCAGGCTCCAGTGGAGAGTTCAAACCCATGGCCACACAGACAGCCCTGGTTAAACTCATTGGATCCCAAAATAAAACTAAAACACATGCATATGGAAAAAGGACTTTGTGGAGGAGAGGGGGTTGATAGCATTGGGAGGAAAATAAAGCAGCTTAGGGCTGTAAGGGTTCATTTGGCATGTAATTCCAGACTACAGTCCATCACTGCGGGGAGGCCAAGACAACAAAAACTTGGAAGCCCATTGTCCCAGAACCAAGCTGGCTAGTGACAGCTGACCAAGGTTGGAGACACTAGCCATGTTTCAGGATCCACTTCCAATCTCGCGATCTGGAGCTAATCAGTTCTATGTATATCTTCTTCCCATCTGCCCTCTGCACTCAAAATATACCACGTCTTTCAGAACCAAGGTGCTCTAGTCCCCCAAAATATTAGCTTCCAACCTCTCTGAGAGTCTTCCTAGAAATTTCTATCCATGGAAGGGCTAGAAGTCATTTCTACTTCC